GGGCTCATTATGAATACAGAGAAACAGCAAGAAATGTTTTCCTTTTTAACTGCAATTAAGTAGGTATCAATTGGTGAGATTAATTATCATCACATAGTTAAAGTATACAGGCAGAAAGCAACATCATTAACCTTAGAGCTGAATGATATTGGCTATGCATCATTATATTTAATTATTAATTGTATTTAATCCTACAAAGTAGCAAAATGGAACTACTGGTTATGTTACTAGAGGCTGTATTTCTTTTACCTAACTTCTACTGGTATTGGACAATCTTTTAAGTTCATTCTATGATTCTGTTCTGGAAATGCTACTTAATTATTCAAAATGTGGCAAAGATCACCAGGCCTGTGCTGCATCTTTTCAGCTAAATAACAAGGAGAGGGCCAGTTTAACAGAGAAATGCAGTTAATAAAGGAGAAGGGACAGAAGTTTGCAGAAAATCATCTCTAAGGTTAATGACATCAATGAAGCAATTTAAAGCTTGACAACTAAACTAGAGAATGTAATGTAGAGTAATTAGAAGACAGCACGTGAATGGGATACATGAGTAATCAGCACAAAATAAAACGTCCTTTTGCAAATAATTGTGGTCATGTACGTTTGCTCTGGCACTGGGATATTTGTAATGGTAACTCAGAGTCTGACTGCAGTGAAACAGCTTTCAAGGGGCAGGTACCACCTGCCCCCCTCAGTGCTATGTGTGCACCCAGGCAAATTACCCTGTCTGCTTTGTTCTGCTCTGGCAAGACCTTCCTGTTACTCCAGAGCTAGTTCAGATATTTGTGTGCACTTGTAGCCCTGAGCTGTGTAGTTTTAGCCCTGTTTGCCAACTCCACATAGATCAATAGCTGAAAACTGCATGTTCATGCTTTCTGCTGCTCCTAGAGAGGTGCCTTGTTCACCCATCCAATACATCACATAAGTCTATTCGTATTTTGTTATCATTACAGGTTCTGCTCCCTATACATTCTTTTATGGACAACAGGTAATACATGGGTGTGGGACCACCTTAAGTAGCAGATTTGACATAAATTACTATTTTTCATATTCCGTAGACTGACAAACTGAAGTCAACAGTTGACCTGAGGTAAATTGTGCCTTAGGAAAAGGGCAGATGCACAGTTAGAGCCCAGCCCTCCTCCTACAAGGCTGGTGTATAATTTGGTAAATCAGACTTAGTCTCAGATTGTTCATTAACCCAACTCAGACTAGTAAATGCAAAAACAAGACGAGAACTCGAGATACTTGAGATTTTATTTTATTTTTTTAATTATTATTTTTTCTTGGAGTTTCAGTGTAATTCTCTGGCTTTGTGCTTGTGCAGAAATCCTTCCAAATGCAAATCAAAGGTTGCCTTCAGGTAGAGTTGCAGTTTAGCATTTGGAAACAGCCTGCTGTGGGAGGTGTGAACTTCCACACCCTCCAGTGGTAGAAGTGGAAAGGCTGCTGCAGTAAATGGGCTTGGTGGTAACATTAAGTCTTCCACAATCAGCAAAAATCAAGTCTTTTTCTCTGTATAGAGACAACCACATGCTGTCCTGATCTCTTGGGTTCACAGTGGTATTACTGTAATTCAATTATTCTTCTGACACCATTATTGCAAAATAAGGAACAGGACAGAAACACCAAGTGTGGCAGCACAGTACTGACTAAGTAGTATCTACACCCAGTCCCTCTTGTCATTAGATGTATATCCAGGCTCTAAAATTATGTTATCTTTAAAGAAATGCCTTATTGAAAAGCATAATATGGCTGTTTCTAGGGGAGACATACCTCCTATTCTCCCCATAGCGGTAGTCCAGCAGTCAATCCCAAGTGATGCACAGGCACTTGGGAAGCATTCTGTTGTTGAGCTGTACTGTTCAGCTGTTCTTCATCACTGGGGAAGACCTACAAGCTGGTGAAAAGTGTAATGTCAGAGTATAAACGTTTATGAGCATAATCCAGGGATTTTTGGTAAAAGCCAAAACCAAGAAATGAAGAGGAAAAGGTTCTGGTTGCGTTACTCGATTTCCATAGAGGGTTTCACTGAAATGATCGCATATGTAGAAGTTGGTGATGTGAACAATCTTACATGTGCTGTATCTATACCACCACTGTTGTGAAAAGCTGGTTACAGGGCCATGATCCTTCAGAAACTGCCCTAGTAGTGATGAAAACAGGTTTTTTTCTGAGGATGGATAACTTATTGCAGTAACAATCAGTGTGAGCAGCCATGAGTATATTTTAATACTATCTGCTGGAGGAAGAAACAGTGTTAGTAAGACTAATATTCAAAGCCACATGGTGCAGCATTATTAGACTCTTCAGAAGAGATGATACATTCCCTTTGGTAAGCTACAGGAAATGGTCATGTCTGCAAATGTGAGACCCTGCTTCCCTCCCATCCCCATTGGCACCTCTGTTCCATTCACATGAGTAGGAACTTTGTACAAAAAAAAAGCAAAAAGGATGGAGACTCTGACCTTCATGCTGTGCTTAAGCCAAAGGGTCCTTAGGGCAAAATTGTATGTGATCCTGTAGTGCAGTTGGTGGCTCTCAGCCTAGAAACTAAAGGTACCAAGATACTGTCTATGGCTGAGCAGAGAAAATAGTCAGATTATATTTTTTTTTCCTAAAAAATACATAAAAATAAATGCAGACTCCAGAGAAGTCTTAACATTTGTGTTTGGAAATATTCCCCATCTCCTTAGTGGTCAATAGGTTTATATATTGATAGGAAAAGACCTGAAAATTCAGTTGTCTTTGACACTCTGGGGAAACTGAATCCATTATAGTCTTCACAAATTTCAGTGAGCTTCAGGAGCATTTAATTTCCCCTCAGAAAAGAGCTGTCCCCTCAGGCACATCAGAAATTCAGTTCTCCTCGCAGTGGTCTTGGGAAGGACCATCTCCATCATAGATTTTAGCAGACCAACATCATTTGCAGTCAGATTTGCACTGTAAGCAAGTTGAACTGTGAGGGTTTAAAATGATCTGTGGACATGCCATAGACTCGTCCAAAAGTTACTGCAAGCTTTTCTTTTCTCTGGCAGTGAAATAAGTTTGTACCCCTGGAAATTTCAATAGGAGTCATTGAATTGTCACTCTTATACTTTCTGTATTCAAAACCAGTGTTTACTGTGGGTTTTTTGAGGCAACACTATAGATATCACATTTCTAACTATTTCCTGTATTTGCCTCTTCTGCAGCCAAGAGAATAATGAATTTGCTGTTTTGTTCAGCAGCTGAAGACTCTGCTGCAAGAGCATCTTTCCAGGCCACTTGGCTCTAGAGGAGCTGCTTCAGGTCTTTAATAGCAGTTGTCCTTGATTTCTTATTCACTTTTGATGGTGATGAATTTTATTAATTAGAATGATTAGCAGATCATATTCATTGGATAAATATTAGTTTGGTTCTCTGTAAAATTAAAGACTACCCCTAATCTTGCAAGCACATAACTATGGGACTAATTTCATGCCTGTGAGTAGCTCCGTTGAACTCATTTAAGTGTTTGCAAGTAGCTACATACCATGTTCTCAGTGTCCTGTGTACTAAATTGCCTCTTTTTCTGTTTTACTACATAGAGAAAACTGTTGGTTGGGGTTTTGTTGTTGTTGTTTTGTGCGTGTATGTATGTGTTTAGGCAAGTAAATTTGTCTTATAGTTGGCAATAACAAGTCATCTGGTCATTTCCAACCGCGGCTGACAAAGAAGACATAGTGTATTGGAATATCATTTCTAACCACTGGAAATTGTGTTAGGCATCATTGAAGGAAAGTACTTACATCACAATGACAGATGAGTGCCCTGTATGTCTATTTATTTTTACAAATGATTGTTTATAAAGCTAAAGTTCCCTTCCAATCTTGAAAAGAAAGTTCAGAAAAATTGAAAGCAAAAAATAAAATCAGTTTAAAATAAAAATAATTTTCATATTTTAAAATATTTAAATAGAATGTATAAAATTGAAAATAATAATTTATTTTGAAAATATATTTAATCTTACTCCAATATCCTGTTTTAAACCTTTTTACATTTACTCTTTAATGCGTTTTGTATGAAGCAATAATTTAAAAACTCTTATATGTTTTGATGACTATTAGAACTGCAGTTTTTATATAGTTTACGCTTTCATATCAAACCTGTAAAGTAAATAAATCTGTTGTGATTTTTAGAACAGAACACCATCTCATTATGTTTGCTGCTGTTGAAAGCTTGTCTTTTCTGCTCCTGCAACAGCATTTTGTTGGGAATATGTGGAACTAATACAGTGTGGCCACTTGGTTTCCTGGCTGCCATTCCACTGAGTTTCACATTTTAATAACACCGACTTGCCCTATAAAAGCTGAAATATTAGCATATTTTTTAAAAATTCATTTTTAAAAAATATAAATTAGCACTGATTCCTTCTTACCCTAGCAATACAAGCCCTATAATAAATATTTTAGAAGTCTGACGATATGACTACAGATAAAACAAAACTTGAAGATTGCTTCTGAGACCACTAAATCTGAACAACTTCATCACTAGAGATTAAAAAAGCTCATCATTTGGATAAATGGGAATGGGTAGTGAAGTGATGGGAAAGAGAGCTGCTATTACAATACATGTAAGTGAGGGATTTTGCTAACCAGCCATATATAATTCCATCATTGAATATATATCTGGCTTGGATATGCTGTTGTGAAATGACATAAAAATGACATTGATAGCCTGAACTTTTTATGAAATCACATCATCCTATGTCTGTATTAGAAGAACTTGTTTCCAGTGTCCATTTCTACTGCAGATGGGTTCAGTGCCTAGGCACCAGAATAGTCAGTGGTGGCTGCCCACCCGAACTGACACTGGTCTCATTCTGCCCTCAAAGTCCACACAGTCAGTTCATCCACATGACCTGTTCAGTGTATATTTTATTTGAAATGCTATAGCTGTAGAAAAAAGAAAAAAGTGCATTTTAAAGATTGGTTTTGACAGTGTGTTACGTAATAGAACTGTTTTGTTTGTATCTTCAGGATGTTGATCTGAAAGCATGTCAGGAAGCTTTGGATGACTGCTGTCCACACCGAGGAGATGATCAGCTGGAACTGCAAGAGGAGGAGGAGAAAGACATAAATCAAGTAAATGATGAAAAAAGTGGGAGAAGAGAAAACTCTGAAGAGGAAGTGAGGGAGGATATATCCTTATCAAGATAAGGAGAAGTGAAAAGAAATGGAGTTAAAGGTTTTGAAAGGAATATTTTATTTCCTCTTTTCATTTGGAATATCCCTTGCAAGGGCAGGAAAGGAATGGTCACTTTAGAGGATACTTTGTGAATGATGCCCTTGTACACCTTCTCGAAAATCATCTCCTCCTCTCCATCCCCCAGTACAGTTTATGTAGTTGAAATATTCTAAAGTTTACAAAAAACACTTGCAAATAACCATTTTTCAATTTGGTTTGACTTCCTTCATCATGAAGGTGTTGTGCTTGTGGGCTTGTGCTTTGTTTGCCTACAAACACTAGAGACATGGATGATAAATTATACTGCTCTCACCATTTATGTAAAGCTTAATGATTGGATGTAGAATTCCATTTGGGACACTGGACCGTTCTGTGCATTTTGGGGTTTGTTCTCCCTGAGAGCTACAATGAAAAGGGCACTCAGTCTTCCTGAGACCTTGTGAAAGCTGAGCTGTTCTGCTAATTCTAGCAACGTGTTATCTCCCATCAGTATGAGGACTTGATGATGGGGTCAGCAGCATTATTTCACAGAGCTGTGCTGTTTCCTCTCAGACTGTGATTTTTACCTCCTTTTATGTAAAATAACTGTCCTTTACAACATGTTTCTCTTTCTTCTGTCACAGAGCAACCGCAACCATGTAGATTCCCTTCTCTCCCTCGAGGGCTATTTACAGCTTCTGTCATCGCAGATGGAAAACATGCTAGAGGTAAATGAGAAAAAACATGTATTGCTAATAGATTGGAATACAGTCAGCAATTACTGGGTAATGACTTATTCTGTTTCATCTAATAACCACAGCCTACCTCACCCACTCCAGGAATATACCAGCAAATCAATGTAGTAAATCTTACCTGAAGATGCTAAAGATGCTCCTATCCACCTTTTACAGCAGGTGTCATTGGCTCTACTTGAAAAATTTTCCCCAGGAACTTGTCTGGGATATGAAAGCTACAGAGCTCTGTCTTTACTGTGATCTGGTGTTCAAAGTTGGATGGAGCCACTGGACAATCTAATTATTTCAACTAATAGTTGCTTTTCTGAAACCTAATGCCATTTCATATTTATACAGCAGCTCTTGGTGTGTTTCTCCAGAGCAACACTGAGTTATTACATAGTAGCAGCTATTGAGCATTTATGGTGAAAGATTACAGTTGTCATAAATACTGGGTCATCTGCTTACAAGGTCTCTACCCTCAAGGAGAACAGACCCATCTTCGCTGCAAATCAGGTCAGTCAGCATTAGCAGCAAACCCATTCAGTTTCTGGCCTTCTGATACTATTGTTTACTTTCTGTGTGCCTGTCTTGACAAAAAAAACCCCAGTAGTTATTTTAATTGGAGTCTCCCTTCTCTCCCACAGCTCATAGCTGCAATCATTAACCATGAAGCTATTCTCTACATTCCTTTTTTGCAACACTTCAAGGGCATCTTACATCCACTTCATCGTAGGAGCCTCTTCCAGGGTCAATAGTGTTTTCCATATAACTTCATAGATTTGGGAACATAACTACCTAGATTTGATAATCTCTAGGTTGGATAGTGCCTTCCAGCCCAGAAATTAGCCTTCTCCTCTGTTCAGTTCTGGTAAATGGATTGCACGCTAACAAGATGCAGAAGTTCATCAGTTTAGTTTTCTTCATTCTCATAATTTGAAAGGAATTTGGCTGTAGCCTTCATGCAGCTCTAACAATACATAGTTCCATATTTTATTTAAGACTATTTATGCAGTGCCATCTTCTGACAATCTATCTGTTGAAAATGGATTGATCCTTCCAGGTATCAAGTCTTTATTCTACAGGGGGTCTAGTACAAGGTAACTCCCTAGGAGAAGTAAGGCAAGACCTTCTTTTGTTACCTGAGCTCTCAGTAAGGATAATAGAGACTTTAAGATGTTCTGGTCTTTATGGTACATCATTCCTTCCCTATGGAAAGTGCTTTTTACATTGTCTGTTCAATGAATGGCAATCCGAAAGCCCTTTCCTGCAACACAGTAAGGATGGAGGAATCCTTTTTGCTTCCTACTAAATGTATTTACATTCTCAAGTATTTTGTATCCATCTATGGATATGACTACTCTGCTTGTCGGCAAGTACCCTGACATAATCTCAGGCAGTGGCTTTGTACTTCTAGAACCCAGCAACTATAACTCAGGCCCAGAAAAGGTGGACCTTAATGCTACTGGAGCATTATCAGTCCAGTTTACTGTTTGGACTTCAGGGCTGAGGGATCACACATCAGCTTTATTTTTGTAAAGAAAAAGTGAATGGTAATTTAAAGTCAAAAGACATCCAAAAAAGGTGTGATCTTGGGGGGGGCCGTTTCCTCTAAACTTACTAGCAAAGGAATTTGGTTGAAATCTGGTTGCAACAGATGTTAGTTAAGAAGACCTAAGCCAAATGTGGCACCTCACAGCCCCCAAAGCTTTATAAACTGTGAAAGAAAAGTAGTGAGACTGTGACAGCAAGGTCCTAATGTTCCTGTCTTCCACCCTTCTTTTATTCACCAGTGTTCTCACTGGTTAACTTCTACAGGTGAGCTATTTATCTTCTTAAAAAAGTTAATTTTCTAGCGGGTTAGCACATTGAACCAGCTCACCCTTCAATCATCAATACCACTACCAGTGAAGGGCCATTGTTGCAGTCTGAACTGGATACCAAAAGAAAAGGAACTGATAGGATTAAACAGGAAACCTTGGGCCACAGGGGCTGGGGAAAAACCACCATCTAAAAGACCAGACAAGATCCATTGTCCTGATCTCCCCCAGCAGGATGTAAAGAGACTTCGCATGATGCTATCAGATATCCCATTGTTTTCTCCCTCCCTCTGTAAATCCTTCTTTCTGGTAAAAGCTGATCACCCTTCCCCAATGTAACCCTGCTTACTGGAAATATCAAACCTTTTACCCCAAAATGTAAATAGTGTATCTGAGAAATGTAAATCCATTTTTTCCCCGTATGTCACCCCTGTTACTGGAAATGCTAATAGATTGTGGAAACGCCCCCCCCCCCACCCCACCCCCACCCCCCCACCCACCGCGCCCCCCCCCCCCCCCCGTTCAGGAAATACCCTGCCTCCTCATTAGCATGTAAGCCCCTGAGACCCTTAACCCTTAAATAGCACTCGCGTGTTCAATAAATCATTCCAGATTTTGCCCCCATATCTGGGATCATGATAGCTTTGGACTGTTACAGGCCATGACCACTCCTCCAAGAAAGACCTTTTCTTAGACCAGATCAGGTGTAACACACAAGTGTAGTTTGATGTACACTTGGCAACAGTCCCATTTCTACCTCTCAATGCTCATCTGTCCCACACTGTCCTTTGCAAGTCCTTCTCCCATTCCTTAAGTCACTTACTTCTGCACCTTTCCCATTTTCTTTTGCCATATGCCAGTACAGGTTATGCTTTGTAAAGACAGGAAACAGCATTCAGAATAGCTAGAAGAAGAGTTTGACATATAAAAATTTGGCTTTAATAGAGTCAAGTAGTGGATTATTAAAAAACAAATTGTTTGTGACTGTGTAGGCGAGGGATATAGAGGCATTAATTTTATAAAGATCCCATTTTTCCCCCCGTTATCTTTTAGGTGAGCTTACTGGAAGATACACAAGTTGCTACTTCTAGTAGAGGTCAAAACCCATCATCCTTACACCACAATATAAATTTGACCCAGACACTTCACGACTATTTCAGTCCTCCTGATGCCATGCTACTAAGAACAGACTACCCAACTCAATCAAATTCAAAACCAAGACATATACAAAGGCAAGAGTCTTTTCCTCAGTCAAGTTCTAATATCACGAATCCAGAATCACTACTTCATGGGCCAAATTTGACAGGGCTGGTTTCAGCAGCTGACCTTAGAAACCTAACAGCCCATGATGACAATTTTGATGAAATTAAACTCATGTCTTTGGCTTTGGATGAAGACTTTGGTCCTATAGAAATTTCTCAGATCTTTGAAGAGTCTGGCTCAGATTTGGGACTATCTTTGAATTCAAGTCACAGTACCACCTCTTATTCAGTCTGCTATGAAGATCCTGTTGGGTACAGCAGTGGTGTTAAATCTGCTCCTTCACATGGCGTAGGAGCTGTTGATGGCCATTGCAAAGAAAACACTAAATATGACCATGAGGAATATCCAGGTGACGCTGAGTGTCCTAGAGAAGCCACACTTCAGCAGTTTCTTCATAACCACACTTACAATCAGCTGCCAAGTCAAGGAGCATCCGCTCCAGAGCATCAACAGGCATGGATGAAGAAATCGAACGATGTAAAGGATAGGTGCCATAATTCTACTGATACAAACCACAGCAGTGATGAATGCTCTGCAAAAGCTCTGAAAATACCGTTTTCAATCGATGAAGTTGTGAGCATGCCCATCGACTCCTTCAACACCATGCTAGCAAAGAACCAGCTGACAGACACGCAGGTATCACTTCTACGTGACATCAGACGAAGAGGAAAAAACAAGGTAGCTGCCCAAAATTGCCGTAAACGCAAACTAAATGCAATTCTTGACTTGGAAGAAGATGTGTGTAATCTTCAAACACAAAAGGAGAGCCTTAGAAAGGAGCACTCTCAGTGTAGCCAATCAATCAGCCAGATAAAGCAAAAATTAAACAACTTGTACTGTGACATTTTCAGTAGACTGAGGGATGACCAGGGTAGACCTGTTAACCCACACCAATATGTCATTCACTGCAGTAATAATGGTAGTGCTTTCATAATACCCAAACATTTGGTCAAATCTGAACAGAAACAAGATACAGCAAAAGCACAGAAACAAAGATAAAATGGCTGAAGATCAACTAGGTTTTATTTTGCCTGGAAGAATAGGGAGACTTGTGTGAAAACTGGAGGTCAGTGATTACAGTAGTTCAAACAGAAACAACTATACTTGAGGAGAAACACTTCATATTCAAAGGTCTGTCAAACTCACCTGACTGGGATCTGTTAGGAAGTCTAAAAGCTGAAGCTTCTGAATGAGGAAATCAGAGTTTCAGTCAGAATTAAAGGAGCTAGCCCATCAGTGTAGGTGTAGTTTTATATACCTATGTTAAAACTAGGAATTTCATTGCTAGTGATGGGGGAGAGGGGAGAACATCAGTGGGGGGATAAAAGCCAGCTTTAGATCAAAGTTAGACATGGAAGAAAAATGTGTTTTAGTCTTGAGTACTTGATTCTTCATACAGAAAGTGACCTTATTTTATTCTCTAGCACTGAAAGAAAAATTGTAGCTCTAGTGCATCTCCAACTTAAATTCACTGTGGATTCCCATATTCTCAAGAGATAATCTGTGCTTTGCATTTGTTCAGAACTGTTCTGCTTTTCCTAGTTTTCCATTGAGAAGAGAGGCCCAGGAGGCTACCATATTTTTCCTCACTACTTTCATCATCACAGCTTCAAGCAAAGATAATGTACCAATTAATTTTACAACTCAAATGATCAATCTGCAAATAGATTCTGAAGAAGTGTCTGATTCAGTATTGTCTTACCTTCATCCTCTGCAACTGAATCATTCTCAGCTTTCTTTCATGAAAACAACTGATGGTGAACAAGTTCCCATTCTGCTTTCTAGTGACTGGGATATATTTACTTGTGTACCTTCCCTTTTCTCACCATTTTGATACCTTCAAGGAGAAGTACTAGTTTTTCTTTTTGGCTTTATTGAACTGGTATTTTTTAGTGTCTTCAATGTTACAGATTTTTTTGTTTAATATTTTCCCTAATCTTTAAAGTAAATTAAATTGAACCAAATTACTGTTTATCTGTACTTGTGACTATATGAGTTTACACTGATAGCACTGTGAATGAAGTTTTTGGTTTGGACATTTCTTTCTTTGTGCTATGAAAAAGAAGACACTTTATTCACTCACACATTTACAACATCCTGTCCTTTACTATTTTACAACCTGAAAAGGTTGCAAAAAGAGATGGCCTAAAAGGCATGTAATGAATGACCAGGAAGGAATATTGAGGTATAGTAGTCTCTATAGTATGAAAATAAATACTAACATCTAGATAGCACAAATAATTTTTTTATATATTTTATAAACAAAACATAAAATTGGCATTAAAAAAAATTCTCATTGGTCATGGCATAATGACAATGGAGCAAATTTACAGTCAGGTATGTTAAAAAATTGCTTGTACCAAACACATAAGAACTACATATACAAGCTTAAATGCCAAATTATACCTTTTGAAAAAAACCTGTCCTTACCATGTAAATCATGTTGGTTGCTTGCACTTATGTTTAAGAAAACTGATAGTTTATCAAGTGATATTTTCTAAAAAAATGAGCACTGATTCAGTGCCAAGAGCACTGGATTATCAATCATGAAATCAGCCTGTTTGAACAATTTGCTTAGCATTTTATATTAAAAGATTTCTTTCAAATAAATGTGTGCATCTGTTGTTTTATTTTTTTCACCACAGCCTCAAATTCATAGTGTAAATTCATAGCAGAAAGTCTTATTAGTGAGGCCACAAAATTTGTTAAGCAGCAGTGTGAAGCGTATCTATCCTAAATGGTATTCACAAGGAATTCATCTAATAGCTAGATCATGAACTTCAACCAAAACATGCAGTAAGTACCAGAAACATATGATGAATTGTGAACTTCTAGTTGCAGGGGGAAAAGGTACATATTTGAGTCAGCATGATTGCAATCTCTTAATTAAATGACATAATAAGCATTTGAAAGTCCATGCAGGACTATCTTTTGCAGGACTAGGCCTTTAAGCCTATTTCTTTTCCCATGTGCACTAATTCTGATACTAGATTAGACTCATAACTGATAAATCCAGAAAGCCAAGTAGTTGTTTTGGGGCCTCACAAGGGCAGGGGAAAAAAAAAAGGAAGTAAAAAAGGCTAAGCCTTTTGGTGCCCACTCCTTCAGTAGCAGTGGCAAGTGGACTCTTAATAAAAGCCAGCTGCTAATACGACATACACCCAACTGGGAAACAGTTACTGCCCTCAACTAACTCAACCATCATTATTGTTCAATAAATGTGTGTTTGAATCTCAATTTCTCAGAATTCAACTAGCTACTATACCCTTACAAAAACCTCTTAGGTAAAATACCAATTGTGAGCGGACTGTAACAGCACTGACACAGACACTGAGCATTAGGTCTAGATGTACTGCACGATTTCCTTGAACATTCAACTATCTGCTCACGGAACACACAAAACTGTAGGTAGAATTCAGACCAATGTCCTGGTTTTACAGCTTGAGTAGACTGCCATTAATATTACCTAACAACTGGTGTTAGCTTTTGAAGTGTCTTCCCCTTCTGCAGCTAGCCTAGGTTTAAATTAAAAAAAAAAATCAAAAGCAACAAAGTCCCAAACATTGCTCAGCCTTGACTATGCCTTAAATGATTGGTGGTTAGGCCAGACAGCCTGAAGCTTTTAATACACTTCCTGTAATGGCCTTAGTCTGTATTTGCAACCCATATACAAAAAATGTGATACTGTACAGGACTTACAGAGCTATTCAGGAAGACTGATAACGGAAACTTGCTACTGAAATGGTTGTAAAAGGTGGGTAACACCTGACTGATGTCTGTCCTGGCTTCATTATTGATAGATCTTAACTTTCAAGAAACCAAAACCTGAAGTGTACAAGTCAGGAACTTTATTATGTAAAAACATATGATGGATTATCAAACCTGGTATGTAAAAAAGCTATTAAGGCTGCATCCTACCTTACTATGTAGAAAAGCAACTCTCTGACATAGGAACAATAGAAACATTAGAACACTGCAAAGCTGAGTATTGTAAACATAGCTGTTGATACAGCAACAAAAAAAAAATGGAAATGTCAAGGTGGGACTGGTCATTAAAATATCGTTCCCATGGTAAAGCTATTACGTAGCCTTTAACACTTCCAGCTACACTACATTTTTCATTACATTAATAGTGAAAAGAAGTTATCTTCAAGGTAGAAAAGGTCAGATTATACATAAAGAAAAAAGAGTGGTGGGGATACCACAGTGCATATATATTACTTCTGTTATTGCTGGAAGCAACATGCTTGGGCACTACAGAGCATGGCTGCTCTTAGATCCACACTTTTCAGGAAAAACATCCAACCAGAAACAAATGCGAGCCACATACTTTATTAGACTGCAATACGCACCGTATGGTTTATGACATGTAAGGCTGAACACTCCTAGAGAGGCATCCTGCAGACAAGCCCTCCCTGAGGAGTCACAGCACACAGCTCCAACACTACAAACGCTTCGAATGACCACTACAGCACCGCGCTGACGTGTAGCTTTAGCTTCATGGGTTTGGTTTTATTCAACAGATGCGGCTTTTTACAAAGCCAAATTTTACAAGCTAAGGCTGTTCCTGCTCAAGAGCTTACAATCTAGTTTTAGAGGGGAGAACCAGAAAAAAAAATTCAATGAGGAAATAAGAGACAAAGCAGCTTCATATCAGTTTGTCAATCTTTGTCCCAAAACACACACACAGCATTTGTATCTTATGGGAGTCAGAAGTACAGTATTAACAAGAATCTTGAAGAGAGTCAGCAGAGGCCTATAAATGAGGCAACAGGACACTCAACACCAGTTTGTAGTGAAAAACTATTTATTAAATAAACCAAATAGAGATGGCACATGTAACTATGTGAAGTCTTATCACTGTGGGGTACCTCGTAAAAGTGCTGCAACTTGACACCTGCTACACAGCTACTAGAACTCCATTAAGTGCATCAGCCACTCACTTTCACACATGAATGCCCCAAAATGAACCAAGAGCAAGCAGACCAAATAAGGAGGGAAAGTGGGGTACTGGTAACAGCAATTGTCTAGGGCTTTCCCCCAGTCGCACTTTTTCATACAGTGAAGCAACAGAGGAGGTCACACATAGTTTGTAACTACATGGTCCCCAAATGTGTTCACAGCACCGTCAGGCAAGTCAGACAGCTATTTATATACTGTTAATTTTACTGCTGATAAACAAGTTCTTTCTCCATTAACTGGAATAACTCCTGACAACACTGAAACTTCTGCTGCAATGCAAATCAACACTAGCTGCAAAGCAAGAACACGACTGTTAAAAGGGACAACTTCTGGAAAAATGCATCAGTGTCACCGAGACAAACCCTTCCATGTAATACTCCTATACATCCCTAGTACACTGAATGGCACAGCTGAATAAACGAGGACTGGGCAACTACCTTGGGAGAAAAAAAACCCAACAGCACTACTATGGGGTTTCGCTCACATCACACACCCAGCTTTGAAAACGAACTGAAACACTGCAGCTACACAGAATGCACTGTTCCAGTATGTTCCCAGCAAATCATCCTGCACCACTGATGTGGTCAAGCTGCCAAAACACACTCAGCTGACAACTCCTTGAAAATTCGTATCTGTTTCTGGGGCTTGGTTCTTCTTCCCCAGAAGTAGTATGATTTCATCCCCAAGGTATCATGTACATTCATCATAAACCTAAAATACAGTCTTCTTCCCTACACGTAACAAAGTTGAAGTCCTGTTCATTTTACAATATTAAAAGCAATTGTTCACATTTTCCTAAATGGTTTTCACCACCTGCAGGACAACAGAAATTAATAAAATCCAATTTTCATTGTAAATAACACTGTCTTGATGGCCCTAGTATTGACCTTTTCAACATTACTTTATGTGCAAGTCAACCACTGTATTTTTTGGCTCCCATACCAGTTACCAACAAGTTGTTTTTCATTCTTCCCTCGGTCTGCTGCAGAAAGTGTTTTTGCTGGGGGAAAAGTGGGCCTAGTACTGACAACCTGATCCTTAGTTGTTAGTACACTGAAACATGTTACGCTTTCTTTGAAAACGAAGGCTGTAGTGACATAAACCCAACTTGACACAAATTCAGAAGTACACACTGTCTACAAATTGATGACCAGGAATTGACCACACACACTGCTGTTTTTATTTGAAGTTGCTGACTTCCAGCATCAGGCTGACTCAAAATGGTGATTTCTTTCACCAAATTCACTGGTGAACACTGCAACTGTCACTTGCTTTAACTTTTAAGAAGGTACCAAGAGATAAGTCATGAAAGTTCAACAGTAAGACATCAGGAAACTTAAAACACCAGGTTTTCAAGACTTTAAATATCCACTAACTTCATTTTTGCATAGTGCTGTCCCATTATACACTCCCTTCCCCCACTGCCAGCAGATCAAAATTAAAAAAACCTCATTATGGAAAATATAAGACATTTAATTCAAGTAAATTTTAAACCTTGTTGTAAAACTACTGAAAGACTATCTCAGAAACAGAAGAATTAATTACTTCCCTTCAAAGTGGTTAGGGTTTTTTTTAATGTTGTATGAATGTGGACTTGGCAACTGTAAAGAAAAAACTTCCATCAACTAAAATCTAAGTTACAGGAAAGAAGGTAAATTCTTTATGATCTGGTCAACTCATTCTGTTGGAAAGAAGAAAGTAAAGCAGATTTTATCTTCGTTTTCTGCTTCCGTTGCAGCCCACCGGTTACCTATGCAAATATTTTAAAGTTCAATTTAAGAAACAGAAAAAAGTTGCATGTGAATCCTTAAACAGTATTATAAAGAAGGTTAAAGACACAATGATTCTGCCAAAGCTCGGCACATAAATTTCAAGTTTAGAATAAACTGCGTATGAAGGTAACTGGTTAAAACAGTATACACTGAAGATCCTTTCCCTCAAATACATTCCCAACTGAAGTTTTCCCAAGCTCAGACTTAGTGTTTGATTTCATAGGGTTTTTTTGTTTTGTTTGGGGTTTTTTTTGGTGGTTTCTTTTCCGCCCCCAGATGCAGCTATCAATACAGTTCTGGTACAGCAAGAACTCTACATTCCATTTCTCTTTTCACCCTAAAAGCTCTTTACAGGTGAAAAGGATATTGTCCTATTGCA